GTGGTAAGGCATGGAAAGTATTTTAGGTATGTGCTCCTTTTTTTGCATAGATGATTCTGGACTCGTTTTAAGTAGATTAGTGATAGAGTTGTATGATCCCTATAAAAATCCCTCCAGTTTGTTTTTAACATACTTTACTGCTTGATATAATTTCAGGTGTCCAGTCAGAAAAGAATTTTTAGCCACACCTTTCAAAATCACTCGCTATAGTAACGTAACATGTTGGGTTGAAAACTTATCATTCTGGTTGGAACCTCTCGAAATATTCACCTTAATATTTTGATATTGAGCTTAAAAATTTTGCACATACATTGTCATTTCTTCTAGTACTGAAAACGGAATATATCAATCCACTTTCTAGGGTAGGTAGCAGTGGATTCCATATTTTGAGGCTTTTTGGCACCTTTTTAACCAAATTAAGCTGTAATTTGATATTTTGCGATCTCTCTGGGTAGAAAAAGGTTCATACAAAAAATTAGCGGTATTTTTCGATATTTTGGAGGGTTAAGACAAGTTTTCAGCCAAATTGGATCTAACTTGATTTTTCAGGTTCTCATGAGGTGTCAAATCTTCTTGCCAAAAATTATATGTATGGGTTTACGTTTCGGTATAATGGCAATGTGGTATAAACGGTTAATATACACAGAAAATTGTAAATATAGCCTCATATGAAGATTTTACCCACATTTTCCCACTGAAGGGTAAAAAATCTTTTTTGCGGAATATTGTCTATACTCGTCCAAAACTTGACAAAGTAGGTTCTGCCCCATTTTCGGCATTTTTTGGGCTGGTAAATTAATAAAAATAAATAAATTAAATATATGTCATGTTAAGTTTTGTAACATAACATATATTTAATTGAAGATTTAACCCTTCAAGTGTTTTTGTCGAATATAATCGACATTTAAAAGTACTCTCTTTCTTTGCTTTTTTTCGGTTATCCTCTGTTTTTGTTTTTGCTGAAAGGCAGACGAAACAGTCCGAGGGTTAAAATGACAATTGCAATTTTTTCTAAACTATGTGCCTTTATAAAATTTTAAATGCAAAATTTTAGATTTTAATTCCGACAAAATGTTTTTGACACTGATGGCGGGCATCACTGGAACATCGGAATCCGGAAATTCCAATTGTTTTAGAAAGGGTGCATGTCTGGCTCTCGTATGAACTAGGATTATTGACTTCGCTCAAAAATTAACAAAATGGCGGACCTTTAATTTTTTCTTTTTTTTTGGAAATTCGCCTGTTTTTGACCACAAACTAAGTTAAAGAATAAGGAAGTTCTTCATCGATTGGCTTTATCCTAGTATCCATACGATAGCTATACAGTCCCAGAGAAACGTGTCAAAATTTGGAACCGACTGCATTATTAGTTTTTGAGATATCGTGCCTGCCATTCGTAAATCACTGCTTCGAGAAAGATGAGTTTAAAGTTTGAGAATCACTCTTGCCGTCACTTGATGCTGACACAATAAATCGACTATATCTTCAAGAGTTCTTGAGATTTTCACTTGAAATTTTGTAGGGACATTCTTGAAATAGTGTAGATTCGAAAAACTAAATAAAATTTTTTGACACATTTTGTTTGTTTCGTACATCAGTTTGTTTCTTACATCGGAATTTTAGCCACACTATCCGAATTCTTTGGCTATAATAAAGTTCAATGTGGGATGGAACGTCAATTTTCACTTGTAGTACACTCTACGTAAAGGTGGAGTGTCATTATTTTTGCAACCGGAAATATTTATCTTAGATTCCGCCAGTTGATATCAGATATAGCTTACAATATTTAATATATAATCCCATGTTTTGACATAGCGTTTGTCCTTCGAAGTCGATATAATGTGGCATATCAGATTCCGGAAGAATAAAAAACTTATTTCCAAAATAGTTTCAATATTCCTTTCGGGATACACCTTACTTGATCGGCGTCCTCCAACTACCCATTTTATATGGGGATTATGTGGGCTACATGGGGATATTCTTTTTCCACGAAACTTTTTTACCTTAAAGAAGCCGAAATGCGAAGAACTGTTACATTACTTGGAAAATTAAAAAAAAAAACAAAAAAAACTGTAAGGAAAGTAGTAAAAAAATTCTACATATGTATCCTAAAAGACGTCGATTTTTCGAAAGAGCATTGGACGATTGAATATGTGATCTTTATCTAAACCGACTCACAACAATCCCTACACATATCATTCTGCAACTTATGCTAAATTTTGTGAATCGATTTAAATCAAATTTTACAAACGCTTTACCAAAATTCATGCAAATCGAAAGATACATAGGGACTTTGGAGGCACCAATTACCTTAAATCGGACTAAAATATATATGGGAGCTATATGTAAATCTGAACCGATTTTCATGAAATTAAGCACATATTATTATGACGCAATTTAATACGATGTGCCAAATTACGTGCAAATCGAAAGATGTATAGGGACTTTGCTGCACCATTTACCTAAAATCGGGCGAAACTAAATATGGGAAGCTTATCTTAATCTAAACCGATTTCACGAAACTTAGCACACATTATTCATAGTACACTGCGCTCGATTTCATGTAAATCGGACGATATATAGATACTTTGGTGCACCATTTACCTTAAAACCGACGAAAATTTATATGGGAGCTATATTTGAATCTGAACCGATTTTCACGAAACTTAATACACATCATTCTAGGTTAAATTCAGTACGATGTGCCAAATTTCGTGTAAATCGAAAGATATATAAGGTCTTTGGTGTACCATTTACCTTAAATCGGAAAATATATGTGGAATCTATATCTAAATCTGAACCGATTATCGCAAAACTCAGATTAAGTCATTCTAGACTTTATTCAGTACGCTATACCAGAATTCGTGCAAATGGAATGATTTTCATGAACATTGGTGCACTATTTACCTAAAATCGGGCGAAGCTATATATGGGAGCTATATCTAAATCTGCACCGATTTTTACGAAACTCAGCACACATCATTCTAGACATAATTCAGTAAGCTATGCCAAAATTCGTGCAAATCAAACGAATTGCAGGGACTTTGGTGCACCATTTATCTAAAATCGGGCGAAAATATATATGGGGCTATTTCTAAATCTGAACCGATCTTCACGAATATTGTCACACATTATTCTTGACTCAATTTAGTACGCTGTGCGAAATTTCGTACAAATCGGAGGATATATAGGGACATTGGTACACCATTTACATTAAATCGGTAAAAAAATATATATCAGAGCTATATCTATATCTCAACCGATTTTTCCCAATTTCAATAGGGTTCGTCCTTGGGCCAAACAAATGAGCTGTACCAAATTTCATCCAATTCCGATCATAAATGCGATCGTGCTTTGTTTACAATTTAACATGGACAGACAGACGGACGGACACGCATAAATCGACTTAAAAAGTGATTCTATGCATATTCTCAAAAGGAACCATGTGTCTATATCGTTTCCATTTGCCTGTTACAAACATATGCACAAGGTCATAATACCGCGTGCCACAGTGTGGCGAAGGGTATAAATATGTTGGGGCCATATCACAATGTGGAACTGTGCAGAGAATATATTGCGAAGAAATATTTAACATAAAAGAATCCGAGATGCTAACAACTATTATATATATATAAGGTTAATTATCGAATCTTATGTTCTAGTTTTTTTTCTTATCTTAAGCAGATTAAATCATTACAAGAGAGTCTTAGAACCTAACACCGAACAAATCATATAGCTATTTTAATATAAACAAGTGAAAAAGCGTTAAGTTCGGCCGGGCCGAACTTTGGATACCCTCCACCATAGATATACTGACAGGTACTTGAAATGAAAATATAGGGAAAAAAACCAAAAAGTTGACCTATACCGACATTTCTACAAAACGATTATGTAAACCATAATACACAAAAATTTTAGTGGATAATTATAACCTCAGCCTTATGGCTAATGAGGGTGTGCCTCATCGAAATATCGGGTCTAGACCCCATGTCTCTTTGGGCCAAATTCAGAACATTTTGATTTCATCCAAATTTTGCCCATCTTATTATATCTTCCTAACTTAGTTCAAGTTCGAAAATGGGGAATATCAGTCCACTTCTTCTGGTACCTCCCACACAGGGGGTAGGTCTAAATGCGGCTATAATTCATTATGGAATCTTACGTTCAAATTTTTTATCTCGCTATCCTCCGCAGCCGAAATGATCAGATAACTATTTTCATATAAAAAATGGGGTTATATGAGGACTACCCCAAAAAGGGGGCGAATATTAATAATTTTTGGTAGGGAAATTTTTTACCATACACGACTACAAAATACCAAATTGCAGCAAATTCGGTTGAAAAATGCGCTCAAGAACCCGAAAATTGGGGGTACCCTTATATGGGGGGCCATCCGAAAAAATGGACCTATATACATTATTTTTGTGGAGAGATTTGGTACCTATTAAAAGAATCTCAAAATACCGAACATTGGGGGGGGGGGGGGGGGGGGGGGGGGTACTATATGGGAGCCTAAACGTGGACCGAACGTGGATCTTCGAACTTGACCTGCCTGCAGGCAAAAGATAAACCTATGGAAAATTTCAGCACCCTATATCAATTCCTTCAGAAGATAGCGTGATTACAACAGACATACGGACGGACGGAAGGATATGGCTAGATAGTCTTAGAATTTTACCCGGATCAAGAATATATATACTTTTTAGGGTCGGAAATGAATATTTCGATGAGGTACAAGCGGAATGACAAAATTAATATACCCTCCATAATATGGTGGTATAAAAATGCGTTATCGCTATATATATCATTCTAATGTATTTGTAGTTGCTTTAAAAATCACTTTTCTATCACTTTCCTTCGGTCTAAATTTCGCAAAAACATTGTTTCCGTATCTTGTTCTTGTTCGCCTTTTACAACATACAACACATTTTTTTACAATCTTCTATTTACTCTTTTATAAACTTAGCAATAAATATTATTATTTTCCTACTTTTTTTCAGGCTGAATATGTATGGGTCAAGCCGCAAGAGAATGCACGCAGTGAGTTTGCAATACCGTTTGGAGCACGTGTTGTGCGAACAGATAAAAATCGTACACAAGTCACCGATGATTATGGCAAACAATATTGGGTACCCAATTCGGATATTGTCAAAGCAATGCATTTGACATCACAAAACGGTGTCGATGATATGATAACGCTGGGTGAACTACAAGAATATACAATTCTGAGAAATTTGGAAATACGCTACAAACAGAAGAAGATTTATGTAAGTACTAATTTCTTATAATAATAAAAATATTGATAAAAATCAAGAATTCGTTTTTCGATAAAGTGAAGTGTGTTTAAATATTTTATAGCCATAATATACAATTCTCTTCCCATTCTTAGAAAAAAAAGTTATCTTTAGTGGTTTACTTAAGAAACTGAGTATTGTGGGTTAGGTTGGATTTAAAATAAACAAATCATTTAGAAATCGATTGTGGATATAATTAATAGAAGTTATGACTCAACATTGCTATTTACATTTTGCGGAGCTTTGTCAATAGGACGAAACCTGTTGTGGAACTACAAAAATACCATAATCATCCTCGCTAAAATTTTCTAAAAAAACTATTCGAAAAAATTATGAAAAAAAACGTTTGCTCATATAAACCATATTCCTTTTACAAATCCACGCCTCTATTATATCATGAAACATATTCCTTTTTTTTCCTTTTATTCCACGCTTCCAATATTTCCGAAAAAATGTACGCCTGCAATTATCTTGAATTTTTTTCTTTAAACAATCCACGCGTCTAATAGTCCATGTAATAGATGAGTGCGTGCCGCTAAATGGCTTGGCTCGAGTCTTTGCTATTCATCACTGGGTTTCATCTACAATCCATTATTGGTGGTTCGTGTCTACGCTACATGCGGGCTGCACCATCTAACGGCAATTTTGCCCACTCTGTAATTTAATATGATTTTTATCGTATGACCATATACACCCTATTTCGGGACTCGGTTCCTCAATTTTCCTAGGAAAGCAGCAGAAACTGAAAATTAATATTTAATTGCTTCGAAAATTGAAATCAATAATTACACTATTTCTTAAGAAATGGAATTTCCCATTAATAATAAATCCTATTCTTTCTTCATTTCAGACCTACACCGGTTCCATGTTGGTTGCAATTAATCCCTACCAAGTCCTGCCCATATATACAAATAAACAAATCAATGAATATCGTGGCAAGAAAATCAATGAATTGCCGCCACATATATTCGCAATCAGTGATAATGCCTTCCAAGAGATGCGACGAGAGAAGACCAATCAATGCATTGTCATCAGTGGTGAATCGGGTGCTGGTAAAACTGAGAGTACAAAATTGATCCTACAATATTTGGCTGCCATTAGTGGGAAACATTCATGGATTGAACAGCAAATTATTGAAGCGAATCCCATCATGGAGGCATTTGGTAATGCCAAAACTGTACGCAATGATAATTCTTCAAGATTTGGAAAATACATTGAAATTCGTTTCACCGAAACGGGTGTAATACAGGGTGCCAAAATTGAACAGTATCTTCTGGAGAAATCACGTATTGTCTCACAGAATCATGATGAACGGAATTATCATATTTTCTATTCCATGTTGGCTGGTCTGAGCCCCGAGGAACGTAAACGATTATATTTGCAGGAACAATCACCGGCGAAATATCATTATTTATCGCAGGGTGGTTGTTACAAATTAGCTGGAAAGAATGATGCCAAAGATTTTGCCGATATACGTTCAGCAATGAAAGTGCTATCCTTTAGTCCCGAGGAGCAATGGCAAATATTTAATTTATTAGCCGCAGTTTTGCATTTGGGTAATTTGGGTTTTAAAGCCACTGAGGTCCGTAACATGGAAGCAGCTGAAGTCAATGATCCAGATAATGCCGCCAGAGTTTCCTCGTTGCTGGGCGTAACGAAGGAGGCGTTATGTGAAACATTAACCCAGAAGACAATGATAATTCATGGAGAACATGTGGTCACTAGTTTGTCAAAGGAGTATGCTCTCGAAGGACGTGATGCTTTTGTGAAAGCTTTGTATGGCAATATATTTGTACATATTATTAAACGTATCAATGATACGATTGATAAGAATCCAGTGAAAAATATTAACACTATTGGTGTATTGGATATATTTGGTTTTGAAAATTTCGAGGATAATAGTTTTGAGCAGCTGTGCATTAATTATGCCAATGAAAATTTACAACAATTCTTTGTGAAGCATATCTTTAAGGTGAGTATCTTAGTCATAATATAATTTATTTTGTATTCATTTCGCGTAAAGCATGAAGATTTTACTTAAATTCAGGACGTACACCGAATTTGAAACATCGACACATTGTGTAATGTATAAAAAGTTCGACTTAACAAAACTTAACGAGTATTCTACATACGGCAGCGGATTCTACGATACTGGATTAAACCGAAGGTATCATAACGGTAGTTGCCAACCCAGTTATGACAACTCTATTTTTGCACGGGGAATGAGGATGTCTCCAGCATAATATGGAGACATCCCCATTCACCATTTGCCTTGTAGTTTGTCACCTCTGAAAACCGCACTTTATTTAACCATAATGGAAGCCAACTGACAGGATTTCAGCGAGTTCACCTATCATCGGCTAAGAGAACTTTCCAAAAAGTTAGTTCCAAAGATAAGTGCAGCTGCAGCCATCAATTTATTTTTGCTGGTCGAATACCCGAAATGAGACCTAATTTCCTAGCAGAGACAGGTAGACTAGCAAATGAGGGCAATGAGCTCTGCCGTTCGATCATCCTTATTTAAGGGAACTTACGTTGGAGGTCAGCAGATTCGTTGCGTAGCTTAAACGGGATAAATCTAAAATAACTGAAGTCGAATGCCTGAAATGAGACCTAATATCCTAGCCGAGGCAGGTAGACTAGCAAAGAAACGTGATGAGCTCCGTCGTTGTAACCTCGCAGATCTCCAGGTCATGGAAATAACGTTCGATATCAGCAGATTTGTCGAGTAGCATAAATGGGATATGTCTGAAGTGTTGTAATATTGAAAACGGTATAAGTAAACTGTGGACAAAGGTTAAATTGCTCTGGAACCTTGGACATAAGGGCGAGAGGACTTCAGTCACATTTAACGACTAAGCAGTGACATATCCGAAGTAATATCCCAGTTATATTAACTGACAGTTTGTCGAGAATACCGAAAGTGACATGGTGAAGCCTTATAGTACTACGTCGTATAAGATCACAGTTAGAGTAGCTACCACAGCAATTTAAAATCATCTAAAACTTTGGGACCGAACGTAAAGTAATGGTGAAAAAACTGGAAGAACCTGCTGTAAAGTCCTCAATTTGTCGATAGCCATCCACATCGTTCCTGTAGCCTGGACAATGAGCGTGGCGGGGCGGTTCCGCTACTGAACCCAGGAAAGATACTAGTAAAGGTGAATCGTACAGTTCGATTTCAGTCTTGTCGCCAATAGCGAAGATTTTTGATGCATTATTCCTTTCAAGCATCTGGAAAAGCTTTCCAGTTGAGGATAATCAGCATGGGTTCCCTTTCCACACTTATAGGTCTAAGATCAAAACATAACCGCTCAGTCAGTGTTGAATAAAATGTCATGCCATTAATTTAGAGGACGTCGAGAACACTTTTCTCCTGCCAATTTTTAAAAGTTGGATAATCAATTACATGTTTGGGCCAGCCAGCCGAGTATGGCGTTTCGGAATAAGATATTCAAACCCCATAGAGTAAAGCAGGGACTTTACTAGAGTGTGGTAATAGCTTCGGAACATTGTAACCTATAGGTCTATGTCATAGAGATCGTAAAATATGAACATGAGAGATGGTTACGTATGAATATGATCGCATGATAATAGCGTCGCGTTCGGTCGTTGAGGACATATGTATGTATGTGAAAGGTTGAAACCTTATGTTGTCGATTTGGTAGCCTCCTTCCACGTCACAAAATCTTCGATCATATTGTTTACCACATGGACTGTGTAGATGAAAATACCTTTGAATGTGCAGAATTAGTGAACCTTGTCAAATATTAATTCATATCATAACATCCCACAAAAAATTCTTGATAAATTGGTTCAAGGCATATTCAAGTAGTAAAATTAAAGCCCTTACAGATACAAAAAGTTTTAATAAGATTTCTAATACCATCACCAGATGGATAATTCCATACGACGCCTTTTCATTTATTTCAAACTCCTCCACATACAGACTTTTAATTTCGGATGGGGCAACATAATTTGAAAGACACTTCGATTCTTGATACAATCTTTCATGTATTAGTTCTCCGTAAAAAACCAATACAAACCAGTGAGCGGAGCAGTATAGTCGGACGGGGCCGACCATATGATACCCTACACAACTTCCACGAAAAACTAACTTTCTGTGGATCTATATTCTGAGCTTGGGCAATATTTAGCGATTTTTGAACCATCTGGACCAACTAGAGACCGACAATTATTACTAATGTTCAGTACAGCCCTTCTAATTACTTGCCCAGATTCCCTTCCCTTGTGTTGTGATCTTCTTACCCATTGGAGACTATAGATCGACTCGTAAAAACACAAAAAATTAAGTTTTCGGTCCACTTCATCACAATGGCGTTGTCCTTGATCATAACTGAAACCTCATGGAACATTTAAAAGTCATCTGCGCTATATTTCCGCATTCCAGTGTGGTAATGGTTTACTAAATAATATCTCAGAACGTAAGCACCTGTAAATATTTAAGTGTAACTCCCACATCTGAGTACATACGACCTTATATTTGGTATCAATTTAAAGGTCAACCACTGCCCTTGGATGTAGCAACAACTTTTTGGGTCTATGACTTTCAGGGGTAAATCTATACGCTATAGAATACATTTTTTTTTTAATTTTTCACACAAAAGTCAGGGTCCATTTGATCCGCTAAATATTGACCGATCCTTATCAAAACAGGCATGCTTATTCCTTGGCCCGATCGCTTTCTCTATGTAAAAATTCGCGATGTTTGGGCCATAATTGCGGCCTCTAGAGCGACTAGAAAAACCGATAAAAATTAAGTATTTGGTCCATTTCATCCCCTAGATATTAACCGATATTTACCAAAAATAGGGGTCTTCATTGGCCAGAACCCATCCTACATGCAAATTTCGTGAAGATTGGTCCATAATTGTGGCCTGTATCGTGTTTACAAAATATAATGGACAGACGCACGGACGGACGGACACACATGTCTAGATCGACTCAGCTAGTCGAGATATGACGATCGGTATACTTAAAGGTGGGTCTAAGATCAATATTTCGCGGCGTTACAAACTTTTGGGGCTGCACAAAGCTATAATACCCTGACAACATAGTTGGGTAGGGTATAATTAAGTGTTGTTATTGAAATATATTGAGTTCGAAGCTATTAAACCCATTCTGACCACCATTTGTATACCACGTCCACTAGGTTTATGTCAAATTTTAGATCTTATATTATTGTATTTTATTTCTGATAAATCAATAATTATATTCTCCTTATTTTTAATTGCAGATGGAACAATCCGAATATCAACAGGAAAATATCAGTTGGCAACATATTGAATTTCAAGACAATCAAGAGGTGCTCGATATGATCGGCATGAAAGCCATTAATATTATGTCTCTCATCGATGAGGAATCGAAATTCCCCAAAGGCACTGACTATACGTTGCTCGAAAAATTGCATTCGCAACATGGTAATCGTTCGATTTATGTTAAAACTAAATCACGATCCAATACTCTGTTCGGTATTCGACATTATGCCGGTGTGGTTATGTATAATCCTCAAGGATTTTTGGAAAAGAATCGTGATTCCTTCAGTATGGATTTAAATACGATGATTGCTAAGTCGAAAAATAAATTCCTGAAGGAAATTTTCCCGGTGACGGTACCATTCGATACGATTAAGAAACAGGTGACGTTGTCGGTGAAATTCCGCAACTCTTTAGAGTTGCTGATGCGAACATTGGCGGCTGCTCACCCATTCTTTATACGCTGCATCAAACCCAATGAAAATAAACAACCAAATGTAAGTTTTGGGGAGAGATATTACAGGAGAGAGTTTTAAAATAATTCGGCTTCTTTTCTTTTTCTAGCAATTCGATCGTGAACTATGTGTCCGCCAGCTACGCTACTCGGGTATGATGGAAACTGCGCGCATACGACGTGCTGGCTATCCCATACGCCACACCTACAAGGAATTTGTGCAACGTTATCGTATTCTCATGCGTGGCTTAGGCCCCTTGGACAAGGTGAACTATCGCCAAGTCACTGAGGATATTTGCCATAAAGAATTATCACTGAAATCGGATCATCAATTTGGTTTAACGAAAGTTTTCCTGAAGGATTGTGACGACGCCCTATTGGAGGAGGAAAGGTCGCGGGCCATACTCAAAGCCATTGTTACCATCCAGAGAGCTGTAAGACGGTTAATATTTAAACGTTATATGGAAAAGCATCGTAATGCCGCCATTGTGATACAAAGAAATTGGAGAGCCTGTAAACCACGTCGAGACTTCTTGTTAATGCAGAGGGGTTTCCATCGTCTGGCGGCCAAGGTCCAATCACGACAATTAACCTATGATTTTGTCCAACTACGAAGACGTGTAACATTGCTGCAGGCCCGCTGTAGAGGCTATTTGGCACGCAAGGAATTCCGAGCAAAATATGCTGAACGTTTGCTGAAGATAAGAGAATTGCGGGCCCTGAGGAAACAAGAGGAGGAACAATATCGCCGGGAAGGCGAACGTCGTTGGAAGCAGCATGCTGAGGATAATTATCAGAAACGTCTGAAAGGCATCGATCCTCTGAAGAAAAGTCCTGCCCCTACACCACGTGCAACAAATACAACTACAACTAATGGTCATGTTAAACCGGAGGAGGAACGTAATAACAACAACTACATTGATGACGAGTCCTCGAAGAAAATTGTCGATGATGTCTTTGGTTTCCTCAATGATGCCGATGTAAGTGGCCCAGTGGGACCCAATGTTAAAGAGAAATCTCTAATGTTTGAGAAAGTGTTAAGTAAACCTCGTATAATACCCACCAAATTGTTATCGCGTCCGGTAAATTATTATGAATCGAGCGTACCCCAACCTCCACCACGAAAATATGCAAATCAAACACGTCTGTAAATAAATGTATATGTGTGTGTAGATATTACCCTGTCCCCATTCTTTTTGTTTCATGCGAAACAAAATAAAATAAATTGGAAATTGTATATTTTTTATAAATTCTATAAGACCTCCATAAACCCCTACGATCGATTGGTGAATATGGTGGGTGGTATTAAAATTTCATTTCCATTTGTGCCAGTACATACCCGCTTTCCCCCACAATAAAATACCCTTGCCATTTTCCCAATCCCCACGTTTCACTGGTAGTTTGTATTTTTTTTTTTCTTTTTTACCTAGAGATAAGTTTTCTATCCTGCCTCAATCCCCCACTTTGCAAGATTATTTGTTTGTTAAATTATTTGTACAAAATATTTATAAAAAAACGTAATTATAATTAATTATGTATTTTGTTTGTTATTTCTTTTTGTTTTCTTGTCAACAACAACAACCAAACCTCAAAGTATTTTATGTCAAAACAAGTATGTATAATTATTTATTGTAAATAAAATTCTATTAATTTATATCCATGACATGGAAATTGTATAAAAATGTTGTAGTTTTGTATTTTTGTGTCTATATACATTCATATATTACTTTGGAATTATATTTGATCTTTAAATGCTTTGGGTGGCTGATTATGATGGTGGTGGCGGAAGCTTTTTTGCATTAATTGTGTTGTTTAATTATTATATTATAATGCACCATAAACATAATACTGAATACACAAAATTAAAGTAATTATAATAATGATATTACCCCACCATCATCAATCAATCCACCGAGGCAATTAAAGACAAGGATTCTCAGCTTATAAAGGTCTGATCCCGGGTAATCTTTGGCCCAGCTTTAAATAGGGCAAATATGCTATATTAAACATTACAAAGACGAAAAGTAATAATATTGTTGAACCAATCCGAATACGTAATAGCTACATTGCTGCAAATTAAACCTAATTGAAATTCATTGTCGGACAAAACAGGCCACATTATTCCTTATAAGATCTTGAAGAATTCGCATACTGTAAGCTTTTTCTATAAATTCTTCGCTGGTCGTCAAATTAGTTCTGCAAATGAACAAATTTCATTACAAAATGACATGAATTACGTTTTGTTGAAATCGGTTCGGGTGAAAAAATGACCTACAACATGTAGTGTGCTTTCAAAATCTCTTAAAAAGGTGGGAACATTTATATGGAGACTATGTCACGGAATACCAAATTCGGTGGGCAAATTTGACTAACATTTTCAAAATATTAGGTTGGGAAAAAAGAAATCCATTAGGCCGGTCGTTGAAAATGTCGATAAAATCGGAGAAATTATCGAAATTGACCGGCATGTTAGCAGTAGTAACATCGCCCAGGGGCGGGAAAAAGAAATCCATTCGGGTGAAAAAATGACCTACAACATGTAGGGTGTTTTCCAAATCTCTTAAAAAGGTGGGGACTTTTATATGGAGACTATGTCACGCAATACCAAATTCGGTGGGTAAATTTGTCTAACATTAATCAAAATATTAGGTTGGGGAAAAAGAAATCCATTAGGCCGGTCGTTGAAATGTCGATAAAATCGGAGAAATGATCGAAATTGACCGGCATGTTAGCAGTCGTAACATCGCCCAGGAGCTAAAAATCGACCATAAAACTTTTTGAAACCATTTACACAATGCTGGATTCAAAAAAAAAAGCTCGATGTTTGGGTGCCACACCAATTAACAGAAAAAAAAACAGTAAACAAAAGTTCAAAAGTCGGACGGGCTGACTATATGATACCCTTCACCACTTTGGGTACATACAAAACATGTTCATATATACAATATCCTTTAGCTAAAATAGAAATTGGAGGACCATTGAAATGGACGAAATTAACTGCGCGAAGTACATAGATATTTGAACTAAATTAAAACAACCCATACTAAAATCTAAAATTTATGAAATATTGAATGTCAATCATCGAGCAAAACTCCGCGGATGTACATAGATATTTGAACTAAATTAAAACAACCCATACTAAAATCTAAAATTTATGAAATATTGAATGTCAATCATCGAGCAAAACTCCGCGGATGTCAACCTGTAGTAACATCAATACGGTAGGCACAATTTTGTTTCAGACGAAAAAAAAAACAAAACTTGGCATACCTCAATCTGGACCTAATTCAGTGCGCTGTGTAAAATTCTGTCTCAATGGGACAAATATTGGCAGTATGGTGCACCATTTACATAAAATCGGAAGCAACTATATCTAAATCTGAACCAATTCCAACAAAAATTCGCATACATAAATTTGGACTTAATTCTGTACGCTGTGCAAAATGTTGTGCTTCAATTAATTCAATTCAATTGGCTTCAATTTGACTCGTTGGTGCTCCATTTACATGAAATCGGGCGAAACTATATTTGGTAGCTATATCTAAATCTAGAGAGAACCTAATTCAGTTCTCTGTGCAAAATTTTATCTCAGTTGGACCAATAATGGCAGTATGGTGTTCCATGGAAGCTATATCTGAATCTAAACCGATTTCAATAGAACTTGGCATAAACCAATCTAGACCTAATTCAGTACTCTATGCAAAATTTTGTCTCAATCGGATCAATATTGGGAGTTTGGTCCACCATTTACATAAAATCGGACCAAGTCTAAATCTGAACTGATTTTCTCCAATTTCAATAGGGTTCGTCCTTGCCAAATAAGTGATTTGTGTCAAGTTTCATCCAAATCGGATTATAAATGTGACCTTACTTTGTTCACAAAAATACATGGACGGACGGACATGCCGAAATCAACTCAGAAAGTGATTCTATGCGTATTTTCAAAAGGAACCATGGTTCGATATCGATTCCTTTTACCTGTTACAAACATATACACAAAGACTTAATACCCTGTAACAGTGTGGTGAAGAGTATAAAAAGAAAAATTGTCCTTCTTCAAATATAATGTGTAAATGTAGCAATCTTTCGCTTTCCACATAATGATCCACAGATCCACATTCAGCTATTTTTCATAAAATTGTATGATTTCTTTTAAATCTTAGTTAGTTCTCCAAACATGGGATAAATAATGTAGCTCTATAAAAATATTCGTTCCAACTCCTTACATTTGATCTGTACAACCCTTCGTGGCACAGAAACTTCTATTTCTTAGAAATAAATTCATATTAAGTCATTGACTTCATTTATTCGCTTTCCGAAATATTCTACATAAAGTAACGGACCTTTTTGGATATTCCAAAGAATGAGTCATTTTCCAAAATTTTAGAAAATATACTTGGAATTTATCGAATCTTCGCAGACGCATTTAAACTTAATTTTAAATTTTGAAATAACGATGAATTTATGCGGCAGAAATGAATTTTAATTTAATAATGACCTGCACTCCAATATAATTGCCTGCATCTTAGACACGCTGTCAAATCCTTGACCTCTCGAAACTGTTGGATCCAAACCCAAACTTATTATTGCGTTTACAATGACGGTAGAAAATTATTTTCCTGTCAATCCTTTAAATTCCACGTAGCAAAGGAAACTTTCTTTAATTATACCCTACACAACTATGTTGTCAGGGTATTATAGCTTTGTGCAGCCCCAAAAGTTTGTAACGCCGCGAAATATTGGTCCTAGACCCACCTTTAAGTATACGGATCGTCATATCTCGACTAGCTGAGTCGATCTAGACATGTGTGTCCGTCCGTCCGTCTGTCCATTATAATTTGTAAACACGATACAGGCCACAGTTATGGACCAATCTTCACGAAATTTTGTATGTAGGATGGGTTCTGGCCAATGAAGACCCCTATTGTTTTTGGGAAAGATCGGTTAATATTTAGGAGATGAAATGGACCAAATACTAAATTTTTATCGGTTTTTCTGGTCGCTCCAGAGGCCGCAATAATGGCCCGAACATCGTGAAATTTAGCATGGAGAAGGGAATCGGGCCAAAGAATAAGCATGCCTCTTTTTATAAAGATCGGTCAATATTTAGCGGGTCAAATGGAGCCTGACTTTTGTGTGAAAATTACAAAATTTGTATTCTATGGCGTATATAATTACCCCTGAAGGACATAGACCCGAGACGTTGATATTATATCCAAGAGGAGTGGTTGACCTTTAAATGAATACCAATTATATTGTTGTATATGCTCGGATACGGAAGTTACACCTAAATATTTACAGGTATCTCCGTATTCTTATAT